TCCCAGTTACTGCATACCCTTGATCACGCATACCACGAATATACGCAACTACTTTTTTTTTTCTATGTTCGGAAACTTACATTTCAAACCACGAAATGTACATCTTGTTTTGTTCGTTGTGGCCAGTTGATCACGTTGTTTGCTCCAATCGCACGCACACACTTTTCGTCCACCTTTTACACTCTTGCTGCTCTTTTTCCATTTTCTTGCACAAATTCTACGACTTTTAGTTTAAAAGCTGCCGTATTTTCCCATTTCAAGCACACTACTTGCTCTTGCTAACTATCATGAATTCCAAATGATACTTTGAATGAAAAGAGAAAGCTTGAAATATGTGAATGCTCCAAAATGGAAGGAGGTGAACATAATTTCATTACAAAACAGTATATCCTGTATGCCAGTGTGGTGGAAACCTGTAAACCTGTTTGGACTGCCTTCATTTATTACCGCGTCTGCCAAGTGGATCACTGGCGCCGATGTTATGACTGAATAACAACTGCACCAGAATGCAAGTCTCTGCTTAACATCCTGGCACCAACCAAAGACAAAACAAATGCATATTCTTTCTTTAAAGATGTTTATTGACTGAAGGGAAAAAGGGGATGTTAAAAAAATATCTCTTAAAGTAAGAAATTCTTTTGTTTTGGGGGTGTGGACATTGCACAGGGTTACTTTTTTTTTTTTTACATAAATTTTATCTGTAAATTTGGGGTGTGAAACATTACACAAGCATATATGGTAGCCACTGTTTCCAGTTTACTCAAGTTTTGTTCTAGGCCTTTTGTCTTTTTTTTTTTTTTTTTTTTTTAACCCACTGGAAAATTTTTCTGATAAATTTAATTTCAACTTGAATTTTGATTTCCCTTTTGTATTCACATTAGATTTGACAGACTAGATGTGTATCTTTAAATTTTCAGGAGTACAAATAATTTGAAAATAATAAATTTAGACACTTTAGTAATTTGGAATAAACAGAAACATAGCTACTGAGCGACATATACTTGTGTTATCAATGATGGATCTTCCACTTCCTGAAGAAGTCTGAATCTGGCAATAATAAAACCACTATATCAATCTTTTTATGTATTTACTTGATTTTAATTTAAAGTAAAACTTTTATTCAGATGTCAATCTCAGCTAAAAGCTATTGACTATTATTTTATACATATACCATACCTGCCAACCTCTAAAGATAAAAATTCAGAAGATTTCTCCAAAATAAGAACACGACGAATTAATATCATGCTTTGATATTAAAAAAATAACAATTTATACAAATAAAAAAAGAAAATTGTACTTACATTAGTAAATCTTAATTAAGTAGTAACTAAAAAATTTATTAGGAAACATAAAACAAGAACTTAATGTTACACAAAAAAAAAATTATTGCAATGAATTTAGAGTGCATTTTTTGGCTTTAGCCAAAAATTCTTTGGAAAATTTCCTGTCATAACAATTAGTTTCCTCATAACATTTAGCAATTAAAATGTTTTCTAGAGTTTTTGGTGAAATTGAAGAACGAAACATAGTTTTGTTTTTCTTCACAACACTGAAGACTCTCTCGCACTCAGCATTACTGTGTGGAATTACAGCTGCAGCTTTTTCTGCTGCCAAATTAATTAAGTGGCATGGGCATCCAATAGCAATTAATTCATTTTGTTCTTTTTTGAGGAAAGAGGCTACACCCTTTTTGTCACCCACCATGACATGAGCATTATCTGCACCAAATGAAATGCAGTTTGATATTGGGATGTTAAATTGTTTCAACTCATTAATTACCAAGGAGGCAATATTTTTCTCCGTAGCGCCTCCATTTAACAATGGAAGACGCAAAAGATGAGTTTTCATTTTATTAGAAACATCACAGAAATATGTGACAACGATGGGGTAAAGCTTCCAATTGCTGTCGCTGCTGCCATCGATTGACACTGAAAATGCTGAATTCTGGAGTGCAGCTATCGTTTTACTTTGTGCATTGCAAGCAATTTCGTTCACAATAGAAGATGTTTTCGTGCCAGCACAAGCATATTTCTGAGCAATCTTGGAGTTGGGAAACATCCGTCTGAACAGTTGACAGGCATGATCGGCAGTGCCTAGCGGCACGTTGTGTTCGATGAGGAATACAGTAAACAAACACTCTGCCAAAATGACATCGGCATCCGAATTCGAAAAAAAATCATCCACTTTCTTTGACGTTGTCGAATGCCGAAGCATTAGACGTTTCGAATGCTTTTAGACTTAACATGCTTCACAATGTCGCTTCTTCCACCGTGACTTATTATGAAGCCACACACGCACACGTTGCAAAATGCATAGTTATTTCCTTTGAAGGATTCTTTAATAGTTGGAAATTCGGCTTTGTAGGCAGGCCGAAAATATTGAGATACGGTTTTTTTGAACTTCATTTTCGTAACAACGACGTATTAAGAAAATTCGTAGCACGTGCAAACAAAAAAAAAAAAAAAAAACAGAATGCGACAATCCACGCTCGCTGAGTCCGAGCTCAGTAATTCCCTTGCTGCTGAAGCAAACGCGAAAAAAAATAATCTGGCGCCCACAAAGAAAAGAGTGGGAGAAACAAGTTCAGCGCATTGGATTGGCTGGTTAAGCGGCGAGTTGGGAGAAACCGCAGGTACTGGATTCGAAGTAGTCGGTAGTTGGCGGTAAAACACGATGCAATTGGCGAAAAAATTCTAAAATTCGACAAAAATCACTAAAAACACTTGAAAAAGGAAAAAAAATCGTAAAACATGGATTACGATCGCAAAATCGTAAAAACAAACGCATTTTCGTAAAAATTATGAAAAATTCGTAAAAGTTGGCAGATATGATATACTAAATTTACATCTACAGTAAAAAGTAGTTAATCCGGACTTGTCAGGACTTCGGCCATTCCGGATTATCGATTTTTCCGGATTATAGATCATCAGTTTAAATCTCGTAAGATGGTATGCAAAAATTCTAAAATTAAAAATATGAAACCATAATTTATGAAATAAAGAACAATTATGATCTAAAGGGTATCAAAATTTACAAAAAAAAAAAAAAAAAAAAAAAAAAAAAGCTTAATATTTATTTGTTTACTTTATTAAACATTTCTTTCGATGTAAGTTGTTTAAGTTGCTTCGTTTTATGTGATAATACTTTCTCCTTAATTCTATAAGACATAATTTCTTGTTCAGTTACAAAGTTCCGCTGTTCAAGTCCCGTAATTGCTGTGCCGAGAATACTGACTAACTTGTCAATCGAAATTTTTTCGTTTTCACTAACCTCTCTGTCACCTTCTTCATGTCTTTATCCCTTTTTTGCAGCAATTCCACTTTTTGTTTAACGGACATCGAAACATCCTTTCGTTTTGTGGATCCTTTGGGAGCTCCAGCAACGGAAATTCTATTTGACAAAATCGAAAGTTCAAGTTTACTTTTATAAAATTGCTCTTACAGTCTGCAAAAAATAATAAGCCGGATCCAATTCGAAGATTAACGAACAACACAATCATCAACATTAAGTGAAATAGATAATTACATAATTTTAGCTTATACCGTCCGTTATACATTAAACGCGCACGTGAAAACGTATTCTGCGTTTGCACACACGCATATGCGCAGTCGTAAAGGTCTTACGCACATGCGTAAACAAACGCCTATGCGCATGTGTCAACGCGCCGCATGTGCAGAAAGTTTTTAGCTTTGAGGTCCGGATTATGGGTGTCTGAATTAACGACTTTTGACTGTATTTCAATGTTTTTACAAAACATTTTGCTTTTGTTTTCAATTTATAAATTCATTAAATTGCCTGTTTTGTTATAATTATATATAGAGACAAAAAGTAAGAAATTTAGAACCAAATTTACACAAAGACCTAAAAGTAGTGAAATTCAATACCAATAAATTTCAAAATATTATATAAATATGTAAAATAGGAATTAAAAGAAATGTGAAACTAAAACCTAAAAATTAAACAAACCTGAAAAAAATACCAAAAGCTGAAAAAATATAAAAGACAAAGGATTTCAATCAAATTTGATATAACAATATAACATTATCAAGGAAGATACACCAGACTCAATTACAATACCCCTTCCACTTGAAAACACTGTGTTTTGGTATCCAAAATTAGCTGATGAATTACTGTAAATTGTAAAAATTATAACAGTTCATCTGAAAGTCCTCCCTCAGACAAGGTAAAAATTCCAATGTCAAATCAAGCAAAAAAATTGAATTACACATTTTTTACTGAATTAAAAATTGAAATAAAGTAGAAATACAAAAATTCAAAATAAAAATACAAAAAAACGAATTGGAAACATGAATTTAAAACTTACTTAGAGGACAAAGAGGTGAAAAATATTAAACACATACAAATGAAAAATATTCCAAATTTGAATAAAATAAATAAGTATATTTTTTCACATTATGTAAGATTAAAACTGAAAGAAAAAAATTGTAATTAACATTCAGGACTGCTTTCTAATTTTAATTTCAATTTTGTTAAATTGTGCAAAAATATTTGAAATAATTATTTTTTAAATATAAAAACATTTTGTGATTCTATATGTGTGTGTGTGCATAAAATAACACACATATAAAGTAATTATTATTTTCAAGCATGCATTTCTTTTCTATGAATACTAGCAATAAGAGCTGATTATTTGCATTCAGACAAAATACAATTTTGGGAATTCCTAAAATATTTAAAGTTTATATTAACATATGAGAAAAATGTCACATAAAATTCTACAAATGGGTGAATTCAACCAGTATACGATAGAAAGGTTAAGACATCAACTACATGAGAAACCCCATATGTTTCAGTAAAAAACTCTTTAGAAAGCATATAAAACTGGATTAGATTAGATATATTTGAAATTTCCTTTCTTAAAATTTCATTACTAATTTGAAAACCAATTAGAATTTGACCAAATATTTCATCAATATAAGTGACATTTATCTAATTAAAAAATAACTGAATTTGATCAACTTTTTGATATTATGTTTCACCTTCGGGAACAATTCCTTTTGTCGAAACGCTCTTTCAGATGGAACAGCTTCATCAAACTCAGTGAACTCATATGGATCTTTAGGCACAGAAGGCACTTTATGGGTAAGTTCATAAGTATTTCTAGCAAATTCCGAACCAGAATCATCAGATCCTTCATCATAAACATCAGGTGTAAATGATGCAGGACTGCAATATTTCTTATAGGGAGGAGGATCCCTACAAAAAAGCAAACAATCATAAAACTATCAAAGTATTCTGCTACATTCACTAATAAATGGACAAAACTAGAGGAATAGACAATATAGAAAATTAAAAGTTAAATTTAAAATATGATACCAGAGAGTTGAACTAAAATGTCTGTAATCATACAGTAGGCCAGACATAGCTAACTGGACATTATCATCTTCACGGCTTTGCTTTGGGAGCTGAGGTTTTTCAAAAGCTTTAATATCAGGCACACTAGTATCACATATCATACTGTCTACATTTCCAGCAAGGTCACTTTCAGAATTCAATGATACAGATGTCTTTTTGACACTTTTAGCATTTTCAAACGTATTTAATAGAGATTTATGAAACGGCGATAAAATCTGGAAAATAAACATTCATTAATGGAAGCACTTTACATCAATTAATCTGTTAACATCAATTAACAGTTAATACATAAATCTTTTTTAAAAAATTTTAAAAATTCATGAAAATATAATTCCAGTAAACACATTTAAATTCTTAACAAATACGTATTAAAGTAATAAAGTAAAAAAGCAAATTTAAATTCTAAAAAAAAGCCAAAATAATTTAAAATAATTTTTAAATATGCAAACCATGTAAAAGATTTAATTTCAAAACTAATTAATATCATTTAAATTCAGAAGCATAAGCAAATCATGTGCAAAATATCCATGAAAATAAAATCTACTAATTTAATCAATTAAAATTAAATTAAAAACAATTTTTTAAAAAAAATGCATATGTGAATGATCGTAGAGTAGGCAGGAGACAGACTTATCAAGGGTTGCTCCAAACCTAACTCTCCAATCATTCAATTCGTGTTCGTCATTCATGCAGGCAAGTGTAAAAGTCAAAACTAAAAGTAATTCCAATAAAGTGGTATGGTACCCTTAGAAATTAACATTTAAGTATTAACATTTAAGAATTAAAGTTCAAAAAGGAAAAAAAACTAACTAAGTCTTTTGGAAAACAAGCAAGGTAAAGTCAAGAATTAAAACTTTTTCTTAAAAAATTAAATTTTTTTAAAATAATAAAAAAAATTTAGAAACCAATGTTTTAGAAATCATTGTCTACAGAAACTTCCCCTACCGAATATGCATATCAATAAAAAGAAAACTATAAAAGAAACTATACATAATCCATATAAACGAATAAGAAAAAAAAAACAAAAGAACTAATTCACAATTTAAAAATAAATATATATTTAAATATAATTTCATATAGAAAATACTTAGATACTACATAAAAAATTTTTTAAAAAAATACTTAAAGCAAGTAAATAGTAAGTTTTAATTCTAAACTTACCTACTATATGAGTGTTGTGGTCTGCAAAATGTTGTGAAAGAGAAGTAAGTGTGTTCTTCAAATTATATAGATGGCGCTTATGTAGGTAAAGTTGAGTGTCAGGTTGCTATCTTTGTTTATAGTAAAATTTTTTTGTAATATAATATATTAATTATTAAATTAAATTACTATATATAATTGAAGAAACACCTTACTTCTCTTCACACACTTTTGCAGACCACAAACACCCATATAGTAGGTAAGTTAGAATTAAAACTTATATTTACTTGCTTTAAGTATTTTTTTAAAAAAATTTTATGTAGTATCTAAGTATTTTCTAATATGAATTATATTTAAATATATATTTATTTTAAAATTGTGAATTAGTTCTTTTTGTTTTTTATTTCTTATTGGTTTATATGGATTATGTATAGTTCTTTTATAGTTTCTTTTTATTGTGATATGCATATTCGTGTTTAGGGGAAAGTTTCTGTAGACATGGATTTCTAAAATACATTGGTTTCTAAATTTTTTTATTATTTTAAAAAATTTAATTTTTTAAGAAAAAGTTTAATTCTTGACTTTACTTGCTTGTTTCTCAAAAGACTTAGTTAGTATTTTCCTTTTTGAACTTTAATTCTTAAATGTTAATACTTAAATGTTAATTTCTAAGGGTACCATACCACTTTATTGGAATTACTTTTAGTTTTGACTTTTATCCTTGCCTGCATGAATGACGAAACACGAATTGAATGAATGGAGAGTTAGGTTTGGAGGCAACTTCCCCTGATACGTCTGTCTCCTGCCTACTCTACGATCATTCACATATGCATTTTTAAAAAAAAATTGTTTAATTTAATTTTAATTTCTTAAATAGTAGATTTATTTTCATGGATAGATTTTGCACCATGATTTGCTTATGCTTCTGATATTTAAATGATATTGTAGATTAGTTCGAGAATTAAATCTTTTTACATGTTTGCATATTTTTAAATTATTTTAAATATTTGGATTTTTTTTTAGAATTTAAATTTGCTTTTTTACTTTTATACGTATTGTTAAGAATTTTAAATTTGTTTTAAATTTAAATTTTCCTTGCAGCAATGGCACAAATAAATATTTAATTAAATATGTATTTAAATTTAATTTTTTTAATTAAACTCAATTTATTCTTATGAAACAATTCCAGTAAACACTATTTAGCACTGTTATGTGTTAGGGTACATAAAGATCTAGATATACAGATAAAATGAACACGGAAACTTGAGCCTTGATTGATGGTCAAAATGTTAATTTTTATAAATGCAGATTTCGGTTAAGCAAAAGTTCACCATGGAATGACATAATATTGTAAATCTTCCTGAACACATACCATCAATTCCTTCTAAAATACCTTCTAATAATAATTCTTCTGGATACTATCAATTCCTTTCTAAAAATGCAGGATAAATTCAATAATTCACAATTTCAATGCTAAAAACCACTATTATTATTCAAAAAGCTAATGTTAAAAATCACTATGAACATTAACATAGTAGCATATCAGTCTAAGCACATTAACTGTCCATTTATTCATGGCTTCTTGCAATTTTCTATTCATAGTACAGGCAAAGAATACAAAAGAAATTGGTTTCTAGTGGCCAAAATGATTTTTTTAATGCATCGCTGGTAAACTTCCAAAATTTCAAAAAATTACCCAGCACTATCAAAAATTTTTCACTAAGATTGACAGACATGAGCATTCTAGAGTTCTAATTCAATTTTATAACTCTCACTACTCAGAATTATGAGGGCTATAAAAAATAAAGCAATTAAATGCATTCAAATATATAAAAAAATTAAATTAAAAAAAAATCTGCATTCTCTGCTATTCACCAAAACCTGATATTTCTGAAGAAATGCAATGTTTTCTTTTTCTAGCCAGCAGACAACTCCACAATCCTATTATGATGTCTCAATGAAAAAAAATATCCGAAAAACGAATTTGAAGGTGAAAATATGCACTCATCTGCTACATATTCATACATGGTTACAATGAAAATACATTTTGGTGACATCTTGATTTGCCTATCTTGGCAACATAATATGCTACCTTGAGATGCTGGGAGATGCTGATAATCAGAAAGAATCAAAATTAAATATACAAAATATTTAAATAAGAAAAAAATTTTTAATATTTTTTTAACTAATTATCCCATCAACCTCGAAACTCTTGCCAAGCAGCACGATTTAGTGCCAATTATGGATAAGAGTGAAGTCACAATCCAGTCATTAACCAATGGCATAGCTAGAAGAAGGCAGACTGACCCAAGCAACACATTTTTAGGAGCGGCATTTTTTGCAAGACACATCATTTTATAAAGGTCAATGAGATATATCATCAAGACAGGTGAAGAATAATTAGATTCTAAACTGGCATACATAATTAAATTGAGAAGAAAAAGAGTTTTTGAAGGGCAATCCTTTTGAATTTTTGCAGTTTATTCTAAAATACAATCTCCATAACAAAGTTCCAAATACCATAATACTAGCAGGAATTTTTCTCTTGACTGCTTAAGTGTTGCTAGTTGTGAAAAGTGTTTTCTAAATTAAAATCATTTAAGAAGTATTAAGAACTACAAAGGAGCATTCTGCATTTAAGAAATCTTTCTCTGTTGTGTACGTAAAAGTAAAAGCAATCAAATAAGACCTCCACAATGTCACTCATCATTTTGAGAAAAAAGAAAAAAAATCAAAATAATATAATTTTAAAATGTTGGAAATAAAGTTTTTCTTCAAAAATAAATGGGGAATTTTAATTTATGTTCCCACACGTCATTTTGACATATTTTGTTGTATAGAGCAAGAGAGACAGCAACTTCAGACACTGTCTCAGGTGATAAAAGTTCTAGCTACACCATAGCTCAACATCTGCACTTTCGTACGATATAACTCCGAATGATTCTCGAAAAGCCACCTTCCATTTCTATGAATAAGGACATAAATTAACTGTTATTGCTGTATTTTTCATTGCATTTTGAGGATTACAGAATCACATTTGTGACTGCATGCAGGTTCATTTACATTTAATCAAGAGAATTAATATATGCTGAATGGGGAAAACAGCAGCTGGATATGGCTGAGAACAGCAATAGATTAGAACAATCACCTGCGAGAAGTTTGTACTCATAATGTTCTAAGCACAGCTTTTGGTAAAATAAGAAGGCCTAATAAAATAGTAGAAATAAACAAAAGCTTTTTTATGAAGCAGGTCAAATACTTCCACATCAGTGTTTATTTGGTGAACTATGTAGAAAGACTAACAAATGTTTTATTGTAAAGGCACAACAGATTCAAAATTCTGCAGAAACAGCAGTTAAGTACAACTCTAAACGATTAGTGCAACTCTGGCAGGATCTCCATCAACTTCTTGGTTCGATGGGAACCAACTTTCACAATCAGCAGGATAATACGTAAGTACCCAATATGCTATCAAAATTTATGACTGAGAATAAAAATGCGAGTCACTATAAAGAAATATGCATGCATGATTATAAAATAAAGTAAAACAAAATAAGAGCAACTAGGTATACAACTCAAAGTACAAAATTTTCATGTAAATAAAATTTTATCACTTATGGCTGATTTAATTCATTTTTGGTTAACTAATATTACTGTAAGCTGAACAAAATGATGGTAAGGATTAAAAAATAAATAAAAGAAATAAATGGTAACAAAAAAATCCATCTTGGAAATCAGTTTTGTATTTTAGCAAATTTTATGTGTGGATATAGCTCTCCCACAACTGTTTTAAATTGTGTTGCTGATTTTCCAGCATCATTAGCAAAATTATAAATGAATATGCATGGTGTATTTTAAAGTATAAATTCCTTTCTCTTCCCTTTTACTTTTTTTAACATACTGTATGAGTATACATGGTAATAATTGCTATAAAGTGACATAAAAAATTCTTAGACAATAATGATTAAAATTCTCAGTGGGGAAAATAATGCTTTCAAACTGCTACACATACCTCATCACATAATTTGCCTTTCAGTGTAACACAATGAGGTGAATTTACCACTGGACTAGAAACATTCATCTGACAATGTGTGTCCAAAGAATGACCTTCCTCTTTTACTACAGGAGGTTGTGGTGATAAAGTTGGCATTGCAGGATCAAAAGAGGATAACTGAGAATACTGCATCTCCATAAAAGCTACTTGCTGAGATTCACTTTTGCACTGAAGCTGGGGTATCATCGTCATATTAGAATCAGAAGAGCAAGATTTGAAATCTTTAATAACTGATTTTACAGAAGCATTTTTAAGAATCGAATTGCATTCACTTTGAAAATTATCTTCAGTATATTGTGATAAGTCCTTCTGCCTATGAAAAGGAACACCATAAAAACTAGAATGTGCTTTATCACGCTTTAAGTTCTTTATGTTTGTACTGCTAGCAAGACCATGATGTGAAGATTCTGAAGCATCCGCTTCATCCATTCTTGAAGAATCTCGAAATTTTTTTCTTTTAAAATGTTTCCTAGAAGAAAAGCAAAAGCAAATTTTTGAAATATTTACACTATTGAAGTGTATCTAATTTAATTTATGATTTGAAAGATTTTATAATAAATAATCCAAGAAAGCAAAATAAAACATTTGCACACACATTTAATATGAAGTTAAAAACACGATGAAATATCATAGGGCAAGACTTAGAAAGCACTATGTTTAAACACCAATAAAATAAAAGTACATGGGATTTCATAGATGATCTGTCAGCTTAATTAGCAGGAGCTGGAATAACTGGCTTAATCGTGCTTGTTTACTTTTATTGGTTTCTGCAAGGTTGCTATATTCAAAAACTGCAGTCCAAATTGAAAGGAAAGTCTTTGTTGCAAATAACGACTTCAATCGCTTCTCTAATTCTGAGGATATTTTTTTGCTGGGATTTGGAAATGAATTTAGCATTATCCTGTTCAATTACTGTGAACATCCGGTAAAGTATTCAATGAAAGTTGTCCTATTTTTGTTGATGAATTGGTCAACAGAGGAATTGGAGATATTTACCTTATGTTCAGCAATTCTTATCGATAGCTTTTCGGATGTTGAGCCAATGTAGTTTGTGTGCTTGTACCTTCATTACAAATTGTTTAAATCATATAATGAAATATAGAATGAATTATTTAGTATACTTCCAGTTCCAGTCAGTGACTACATGATCCATATGAATATACCACATTGAGAATGAAAAATACAAGAATGTACTACACTGAGAATGAGAATTCACGAGAACATATTCCATTGACATTATGAGAACTGAAAGTTCTAATTTTAGATATTAATGCAACTAGCCTTTACATACATTAATTTATTACACAAAACCAATATTTACTTCTACACCAAATCAAAAAATCAAGATAAAGAAATTTTACTTCTATGACAATACATCATAATTTAAAGAGCAGGTTCTACATTCAATCTTGTAACCTCCAAATGCAAACTGCATAAATATGATGATTAAAAAAATATATAAAACAACTGCTTCTTCTAATAAAAAATGTTGCTTTGCATATAAACATAGTAAAATTTAAAGGATGAAAAATGTATTTTACTCAAAACTGATTTAAAATTATATGAAATACTACTTGAAATAAATGGCAGTATTTGTTCCTTGTTACAACTTGCTAACTTAAATAATACCAAGACTATAAATTGTCAATATATGCCATAAATAACTGCCAAACAATGGCAGTTCTTAGCATCTTTCTCACTCCTTAGGAAATCAAAAATTGTTAACAATTTTATTAACTATTAGTGACTATTATGGAAACAAAATTTTCATATTTAAGTCTTTCTAGACATTTTTGTGAAAACAGGGATGTGTTGTTATCAATACTTTTTGAATTATTTAATTTTATTTTTTAATTTTTGGGTCACCTGGTCAGTGTGTGTGTATGTATGTGTATTTGCTGTTTTGTTTAACAAGATTCTTAGCTTAAATGGACTAGTCCTATGGATTGAGTATTAATTTTGACTTATGGTTTGAATCTAGCAAATAATTTGATGCTTACTCGGAAGTAAGATGAAACACTCTCTTAATTTAGTTGCTGTTAATTGATGGTAGATTGGTTTACCTCCTTGATAAGTCGATTAATCTGCGGTCAATGACAACAACTACTTTTTCAATATTCAGAATTTACTTTTGGTTTTGGCATTTTTGTGATTTAGATTTGTCTACTAAAATTTTTAAACAGGAAGTTGAAATTACTATTTAAAATACTAATTTAAATTCTGACCAAAAAAAAAAAATTTCATTCATGCTTTTAAATTGAATTTCTGTTCCTTGAAGATGGTATATGGAAAGTTTTCTTATTATAAATTATATATATATATATATTTATTTATTTATTTATATTCTAAAATACATATAAAACCATAAAAACATTGCTGAAACAGGCACAGCAAAGGCTCAACTATCCAGAAAGCTTGGGAGATGCTGAATTCTGGACATATGAAAATTCTGGATAATTCAGCATAAAAATATCCAGTTAAAGTAGAAAAGCCAAATTAATGAAAGAAAAATTTTGCAGCTTAAAATAGACTATATAAATATACTATATATATAGTCAATTTGTTATTAGCTTAAATATCAAACACCTACATTTAAATTATGTGAGATTTTGAAGAAAAAAAATGGGGGGGGGGGCATTTCAGACACAAAAGTAAAACATTATAGTCCATGATAAAATTCCGTCAACCATGAAAACATGGATATCTTGTCAAACTTGTGCCATTTGTTCGTACAAAAGTTTGAAGGAACAAACTCTTTATTTAATGGATAATCAAGAAATAAAAGTTACGGATACAACATATAAAAAAAACTTAAATCACTTGTCATAATTTTTCATCTTGCACAGCAACGTTTATTCCTTTTTTTCTAATAAGTCATACTTTTGATGTTAGGAATTTTAAAAATATTCTACTACATGATATTCCATTGAAGACAAGTTCCAAATTTTAATTACTTTTTAATGCAATTGAAACAGAGATAAATAGGAGTTAATTAATATTGCTTTCAACAAAAATCAAACTGAGTCATTGAAAATTATTCAGGTTTACATAAAAACAAAGCATTACATTACATATATCCCATTATCGGCACTAAATTGTACCATTTTGTGACAACTTTTGACTTGAAATATAGTCCTATTTGTGGAGCAATTCATAATGGAGGCGATGAGGCTGCACAACTCCGACGTTAGTTTCTCCCTCACCCCCGCTAACTGTGATTGGGCTTGATCCAAAAAAAAAAAGGAGAAACATTCTCTCCTTGTATGACTCACTTCTCGCGTTATGCAATGGACAGTAAACAACGCTTGTAATCATCGCTATATTTTTTTTCTTCATATACCTAATAAATATGTTATTTTGTGTTTGCTAATACAATGATCGTGTTCCTTACCTCGCAGCTTGGATTACACTTTATTAAGGTAAGAACTTTAATTCTGTTTTATTCATCTGCTCGTCTCGATTTAGCGAAGTTGTAACAGTAAACAAAAATGAACCACGAATACCTTCAACAAAAGATTATGAGACCGAAAATATGTTTACTTCAACTAAACACATAAAATATATCGAGATAAGCCATTAAGAATAAAAAAACAGAAAAGATACTTTACCATAAATTATCGCTGGATAATCCGAAAAAGGAAAAAAAAAAAGCCAAGCCTGTCTTCAAAAGCGAAACAAAACTGCATAGTTGCGTACTGCGCATTCGAAATACAGAAGCAGAAATGGACTACTAGCTGCGAAAATAAATATTCGATCATGAAACTAAACAATAACAACTATCAAGTATGGAAATACAAACTTGAAATGATCCTGAAAAAGGAAAATTTATGGGATTTAATAGCAGATGATACACCAAAAGAAATAAACGTCGAATGGAGAAAACGAGATGAACAAGCACAAGCTACCATTAGTTTACTCGTAGAAGACAACCAAATCGTACACATAAGAAATAAAACGACAGCCAAAGAAATATGGAATGAATTAAAGAAAATACATGAAAGAAAGAATCTTTCCAGTAAACTTTACCTTCTGAGAAAGCTGTATACGTTAAAAGCAGAAAACGAATACAAACTCGAAGAACACGTCAACAAAATGCTCGAAATCGTAGACGAACTGCGAGGAATCGTGTGAAGAAATAAAGGACAGTCACATTGCAGCGCTCTTACTAAGCGGCTTACCAAAAGAGCTACGAAAATCTCATTACAGCTTTAGAAGCACGCCCAGAAGAAGAAGAACTAACGCTGGAATACGTAAAAACGAAACTCATCGACGAATGCCTGAGAAGAAAAAGAAGTCACGCGAGCAGAAGAAACGACTGCCTTCAAAACGAATTTTAACACAAAATTCAAGCATTTAAATCAACGAAGAAGATGCAATTATTGCAAAAAAATAGGACACTTAGAAAAAGAGTGCAGATTCTTAAATAACCACAAAGAAAAAGATAAAAACGAAAGTAACTCATTTTTCAAGAATGAAAAGCAAACGAATAAAGGAAATTATGGAAATAAACAGAAAACGAAAAGTTGCTGTAAACGAGGATACACATGAAGATGAAAACGAAAATAAGAATCATGAGAAGACTGAGAATTACACGTTCGAAGTCACCAGAGAAAGAAAATCTCAAAACTCAAACTGGTCAGTTGACTCAGGTGCTACTTGTCATATGACCGATAACATAACATAAACTTTTTCACCAAATTGGATAGAAGCAAAACTGAGCAGATAACAATTGCTAACGGCACGCAGATGAAGTCCGAAGGTATAGGAGAAGGATACTTATACTGTACAGACGACGAAGATAACGAAATAGAAGTGAGACTCGTAGATGTTCTGTACGTTCCTGACCTAGAAGAGAAGGAGGATTGATATCCGTACGAAAAATTACAAAGAAAGGATTCACAGTTGAATTTGAAGAAGATATTTGCAGAATAAAGAAGAAAAATAAAACCATAGGAATTGCTAAAGCAGAAGGAAATTTATATACCGTAGTTGAATCGCAAAGAAAAGAAAAAAGCCAAAATTGCAGCTGCAGAAAGCAGAAAGAAGAGAAAATAGTATAGATCTTTGGCATAGAAGGCTAGGACATAGAAATTATGAAGCAATCAAGAGGCTAAAGAATGATGACCTGGCAACCGGAATAAGAATTGACGGAGAAGCCAAAAAGGAAAAAAGAATGCGAATGCTGTATCAGAGGCAAAATGACTGAATTGCCGTATCCCAAGCTAAACAACTATAGAGCAAAATCAGTTCTAGACTTGATACATTCAGATATTTGTGGACCAATCGGTACAACATCACTAGGAGGAAAGAAATACTTCATAACATTCATCGACGATCATTCGAGATACACAACGATCTATCTGCTAGCTACAAAAGATGAAGCTATCTCCAAGTTAAAACAATTTGTAACCATGACGAAGAACAAATTTGGAAAGAAGCCAAAAGTCTTAAGAACAGACAATGGAGGAATGGAGGAGAATATACAAGCAAAGAGATTGAAGACTATCTAAAGGAAGAGGGAATCGAACATCAAACCTCCGTAGCATATTCACCGCAACAGAACGGTAGAGCAGAAAGAAAAAATCGATACTTAATGGAAATGACAAGATGCCTGCTACTCGATTCAGGACTCAAAAGAGAATTTTGGGGTGAAGCCGTAATGACAGCCACCTATCTACAAAACAGGCTACCATCAAGATCAGTTGAAAAAACACCGTATGAACTATGGAATAATAAGAAGCCGAATCTAAGCCATATCAGAGTTTTCGGCAGCACAGCTTATTGTCGAGTTCCAAAGCAGAAAAGAAGCAAACTAGACGAAAGAAAGAGCAGAAAAAGGAATTCTTGTTGGATATAGTGACCGTACTAAAGGATATAGAATTTACATGCCATATGCAAACAACGTCGTGATCAGAAGAAGCGTAATATTCGATGAAAACAAAACAAAACAAAACAAAAAAAAAAAAAAGAAAGAAATGCCTCATCAATTAAATGATCAGCACAAGGAAATAGAATGGCCTTTTAAAGAAAATAAATTGACAGAACCACGTCCAAATGATATTACAGAGGAAGTAATTGAAACAGAAGAAATTCCCCCATTACCGAGAAGATCTCACAGAACGACTAAAGGAATCCCACCAAACAGATTCTCATACATGGCTAAGAATGAAGAAATCAAAGTTCCTAAAGACTGGGAAGAACTTCAAACTTTTCCTACCAAAGAAAAGGAACTGTGGTTAAAAGCTACGAAAGAAGAAATGGAAGCACTGAAGAGGAACAAAACATGGGAACTAGTCGATCTTCCAAAAGGAAAGAAAGCAATTGGAAACAAATGGACATTTAAAACAAAATCCGACGCTTCAGGAAATATTATCAGATATAAAGCTCGTTTAGTAGCTAAAGGATATTGCCAAAAACTTGGCCACGACTACGACGAAACATTCACACCAGTCATAAAGTATACAACAATAAGGACTATTTTGGCAATAGCAGCTCAAAAGAAAATGCACGTAAATCACTTCGATGTAAAAACAGCGTTTCTATATGGAGATCTGAAAGAAGATATATATATATGAAGCAACCGGAAGGCTACATCTCTGCTTCATAAGCAAATAAAGTCTGTAAACTGAATAAAAGTATCTAAGGAATCACAAGATAGCTGAAATCCTGCACAAACAAGGATATGTTCAAGGAAAGGCTGATCCCCGTTCCTTCACACTAATCGAGAAAAATGCAAGAACTTACATAATCGTTTACATTGATGACATAACATTAGTCGCGAGCGACAAGTGTGAATCAATTCAAGAAGTTGAACGAATTCTCAAAGAATATTTCGACATTCGAAATCTTGGAGAAGTGTCTACATATCTAGGAATTGAAATCGAAAGAAAAAAAGACGGAAGCTTTAAACTTCATCAAGCTAACAAGATTAATAGTATGATCGAAAAATTCGACGGAGAGTCACCAAAGAAACTAAGCTATACACCCATGACTACGAATTTTACGAAGAACCAAAACAACCAGGATGACGTTTTTCCCGATAATCGGAAGTATAGGGAAGCAGTGGGAGCACTTTTATATTTAGCAACAGTATCAAGACCTGACATAGCAAATTCTGTTGGAATACTTAGCAGAAAAGTAGAAAATCCATCAACATCGGACTGGAACGGTATCATTAAAATCATACGATATTTGAGAGCGACAATTAATTACAAATTACATCTAAAATCCAATGGTGCACCAGTCATCAAAGCTTACAGTGACGCTGATTGGGCAGGGAGATACCTCTGACAGAAAATCCACATCCGGATATATATTTCAAATAGGAAACAGTACGGTATCATGGGGAAGCAAGAAACAAAATTGTGTCGCCCTATCTTCGACAGAAGCCGAATACATCGCTCTAGCCTTAACATTGCAGGAGCTACAATGGATTAGACAACTGATGGGAGATTTAGGTTTCGCTCAACAGGAAGCTAACATCGTATTCGAGGACAATATATCATGCATAAATCTTTCCCGAAAAGAGAAAGGAAGCAGTTACACCAAACACATCGATGTGAAATATCACTACGTATGTGATCTACAAAATCAAGGGATTGTTAAATTAATACACTGCAACAGTAAAATGATGTATGCAGACATGTTCACGAAACCTTTGCCCAGACAACAGCTGGAATTTTTATTAAAAGGAATCGGCCTTACTTCGGACATAACAGCTCATCGAGTGGGAGATTGTGGAGCAATTCATAACGGAGGCGATGAGGCTGTACAACTCCGACGTTAGTTTCCCCCTCACCCCCGCTAACTGTGATTGGACTTGATCCAAAAAAAAAAAAAAAAAGAAGGAGAAACATTCTCTCCTTGTATGACTCACTTCTCGCGTTATGTAATGGACAGTAAACAACGTTTGTAATTATCGCTATATTTTTTTTCTTCATATACCTAATAAATATGTTATTTTGTGTTTGCTAATACAATGATCGCTTGTATTACACTTTATCAAGGTAAGAACTTTAATTCTGCTTTATTCATCTGCTCGTCTCGATTTAGCGAAGTTGTAACAGTAAACAAAAATGAACCACGAATACCTTCAACACTATTAATGCTTTCAAATAGAGTTAAAAATATCTTATTTGCTAAAATTTATGTAAAAGATTTTTCAACAATATTTCAGTTGAGCTTGGTATGTAGTTTAATGCACAATACTTGGGCTTTTATTGTATTTACAGCAGAAAGAGCTCAAAGGGAGAACTTTTAGAAATCCATATTAAAACAAGACAAAAAAGTATTACGGTATTTTGCTTGAAGTTCCAGGCTACAGTTATCATATTGAAATAGTATGGCATGCAAGTTATCTTGTTCTTTAGAAATCAAAAATTCACTTTCATTAAATTTATGCTCTTCTCACAATATACCGTAAAATTTATTTAATAAACAACTACAGTTCTTAAAGCTTACCTTGAACACATACACTTAGCAGCAATAAACTGATCATGAAAATCCCACAGAACAGAATTTTCTTCAGCTTTTTCAGTAACAATAGGCAGGTAACATTCTTGACAAATTGAATGTTTTATGCATTCAGGTGTATTATACGCATGTTTCCGCTTCATTTTTTCTTCATTTTCAGTATTGGCTATACTGTCTAGGATGTCTTTGCTGAGTTTAGAATTTTCATTAAAAGAAAGATTTTCACTGGGAGACATTGGAGGAGTCAGTAAACCAGTTGCAGGTATGTGGTTTAGTTTTAATGGCTGCACTCTTGTTGATACAGTAGGTCCAGCTGAGTTCTGAATGGTTTCAGAATGATCTTCATCTGTGACAAACACATAAGCAGTAGGATATTTCATGCGAGTGCCAGCTGAGTAAAAAAAGAAGTAAATAAAAATGTTAAAATAAGTAAAAGTTTCATATTTTTTCCTTAAATGTTCTATTAAAAACAGCAAGTAAGAAAAATACTTACTTTATATATATGTCTAATAACCCAAACAACTTTAATGGTTTTCATTACATTTGGTTAATTTGCATTAATTTCAATTTAAATTTATGTAATCACTGAACAATTAATATTAAGTCATTGCCAGTTTGTGAGATCTAGTTAGTCCAGTTAAGTCATATTTGGAGTAAAAAAGAGTCATGACAAATATACAATAAATACTACGTAACATAATCATGTTTGTCCATGACTACTTTGATAACATTAAGCAATGAGAAAAAGTATTTTTTGAAAGATCAATTTAATTTAATTAAAAATAAATATAAACTAGAAACTTATACATACATACTTTCACCTCATTTTAATTAAGTTAATAACAGCTGACTGTCTGGAGTTCTTATGCAACAGTTAATTTTTTTTAACTGTATATAATACTTACAGAAATTATTTCATCAATGCTCTACCCTCAATCTTAATAATCATACATGGCAATTCTCATCTCAGCATTTGTAAAAAATTCTCAGATTCCATCATCTTTTTGTTGTTCTTTATCACATGGTATGATCGGATTTACTTCAGAAAATGAAAGGCAAATATCTTCCACTATCAGTGACTTTGCAGCATGAGGTTCTTCCTCAATAACCATCGAAGCATTAAATTTCTTTCAATTAATATTACTCAGAGACTTTCAATTCTTCATCTTCTCTTAATTTATTATGTATTAAAAGTTTAACGTGCTAGAAACAGTTCTTTAATGTCTTCTCTGAGATGTGATTCCAAGGTAGGTAAAATTCTGTTATCAGGAGCATAAGAAAGCGCAACAAAAGTATATGTACAAAAGCGCAAAATTTAGCAAATGCACCCATTTAATCGTAAACTGCACACAAATTTAGATAGTTCTAGATTTTGAAGTCACTACTGAAACACAGGTTTGAGTATTTAAATTTTGATAACTCTATGGACTTAACAATTTAGAAATCACCTAAGGGTGCAATAGAACTTTTTTTCAAAGAAAAGGTATCATTTATGATACAGAAGAACGACGAGATGAAACTGGGTTTTATTAGCAACTCAACAGCGAAACAGCGCTGCCGAAAAGAATCCTGTAATAAGACGGAAGGATTATGAACATAAAATTGGTTTTGAACCCATCAAAAATCTCCCAGTTTATGACACATTTTATATCATTAGCTGGAATCATATCTTAAGCCAAAAAGATTAAAATGAAAGTTTAAAATTTACCTCTTTATTTCTAACTCTTCCCCCCCCCCACTAATAATTTTGTTTCAGAGCTTGCATCATTGTAACATGAATTACAATCTCATATTTGCCACTATTGCTTTCTTTTCATGTTTAACTCATGTATGCGAAAAGTACAATCATGAGAAGACGTGCTGGGTATTTCATACCCGAAATCAATTAACACGTTTTAAATTTCATTAATGACATAAATACGAGTAAAAATGAGGATTAACGTAAAAAACAATGAACTTTAGAATATTTTAAATAATATAATAAATGAAGTACTTAGCTTACAACAGCTTAAAGCGATAGATGCAGCTTAAAGCGATACACTGATTTTGCACATTTCTGGCAGATTGAACAAATGTGCTCCATACAAATACTGATATTACATTTCTCGCACAGAAAGTGTCTTTCTGTCCTTGTTTTTAGGGCACTCAGCGCATCTTCTGTAAATGTTTTTCATCTTTTTAGATGGTGGTTCCATATTGCAATCTCTTGAAAGTATTTTTTCTTTTAGTTTCAAAAGGAGCATGATTTGCTGCCGTCGTTGATTTGAGTAATCTTCCACTAACTTCAGTTCTAATGACTTGAGAAAAGAACGTCTGTTTCTAAACTGAGTTGGTGGTTCTTTTGTAGAAAGTAAGATTATAGCAAGCCATTTTTACAACATAATTTTCATCATTTGATTGATTTTTCTGATTCACTATCTAATTCACCGCCTGTATCACTGTCTGTTGATAAATTATGATTGCCGTTGTATTCTTCATCTATTAATTCTTCCTCCTCTTCACTAAGATTCTTCATCCGTTGAAATGGTTTCTAGCATACTTCTCAACCTTTCCATTTCTTTATCATAGCTTAGATGCCTCGCCATGCTGACTACCTAAAAAAGTGAGGGTGAAAATCTGAGAGATGCGAGAAGGCGCGCGGGTGTCACACACCCAAACGGTACAATTCCTAAAAAATATTCAAAGAATCACTCCATGGTCATCTCAGCTTCAAGAATGTGACCTTGAATTCAGCTACAAAAGGTTTCGCCCATTTCCAGGAAAGGGGTTTGGAGATAAGGGACAAATAATATGCCTCCGGCTATGAGATACTTGTGCTCGAGGGTTAATCTAGATTCACCATGAATACAGCTAATTTTCCGGTCACAAAATTTCAAATATTTGCAAGCTAAAGAAAATTTTTACATTAACAAATATTTAAAACAATATAGTTTTACCAGAACAAACATAACTGGTGTTCTGTAAAAACACTTACGATTGCCCACAAAGGCAATTAATTATATGCTGCAGGATGAAGAAATCACATGAGAGTTTGCTGTTATCTGGCAAGAAGGAATTTACTACCAAAGAAGGGAAAGTCCCCATGGTCGTCAGTTGTCTTTTGCGCCTTTATATCATATTCACAAAAATAAACACGATATTTCCCATTGATGTGCAAAGCTGGAAACAAAATGACAATTTTTTTCCATAACATTTAATTTTATGTAAATAGTGCATATTTCAATGCTTACTTTTAAAAACAAGATCCAAAAAATAACGGAACTACATTTTTTAGCAGAACTATTTTTCTGTATTTCAAAAAAAAAAAAAAAATATCAACAGGTATCTACCCCATATCAGCGAAGCCTTCCCTAATCGCAGTTAATTTAATGTGATGTTTGCCAATATTGTGATCTTTTATGCAAGAATTATTTTCATTATCCCCCCCAAATAAATTTGGTTCTCCCTCCCACTTCAACCATATATAATACTATATATAGATTTTAGCCCCCCGAAAACAAAAAATATAATAATTATTTATTATTTATGTCATACAGAAATGAATGACACAAGTGTTGCCACAGAGTGGAACACAATTTATTAACAAAAAACTGATAGTACATCAGAAATAATCCCCACTCATGTCAATACACTTCTGCCATCTGGCTGGGAGATCCCGAAGGACTTTGGTAAACCAGTCTGTGGGGTGTTGGTGCACCACCTATGGACAATGCAATTCTGCAGAAGATTCAACCTGATGGCCCTTGACTGCGTCCTTCATGTTGTCAAGCAAGACATAGTTTGAGGTCTTGGCTCGAGGTCCACCCACTTTGCACACACATTTATATAATCTCCAATTCACCATTCACAATTGCCTGCAATGTTCCTTGCGCAAGCCCTGCCTCTTGATGCATCTTGTTGAACGTTATGCACCTGTTCGCCATGACCAAATCTGATACGGCTGCCACATTTGCTGCTGTATGCGATGTTGCTGGTCATCCTGCGCTAACATCTTTGGCTGCAGTCTCCACTCCACTGCCGAACTTCGCCAACCAATGAGATATGGTACGCCTTGAGAATGCTTTGCTCCTGCACACCGATACCATGCGATGATGGATCTCACTACCCTGTATCCCTTCCTTCCATGGCAACACTGCTGTCCAATGCTGACCGGGATAATCATCTTCCATCATTGCTGTCCACGCTCTCAATGACGATGGCAAAAAGGATGCGCACTGACGTATACCGTTCGCTTGTGGCCAGCTCCAACTATGCATTCTGAATCGCTCACGTCCCCTTGTGTCTATTTCACTTGTTTTCCCTTCGCATAGTGTAACAGCCACTATGTCAATTGTGACAATTACTATAGTCATTATAAGAGTCACTATGTCAATCATTTCCTTACAACCCATATATAATTAACTAAATAACTACAATAATTTATTATCATATAATTATTATAACTAATTATTAAGAAATTTTTTTTTCAGTGCATATTAAAGTCTTTAATCCGGAATGATCTATAATCTGGACCTCAAAGCTACAAACTTTCTGCGCATGCATAAACTTATTACATGCACATATGCATTTACACATGCACATAATACCTTTACGCATGCCCATTTAATGTATAACAGATGATATAAGCTAAGCTAAAATTATCTAATTATCTATTTCAGTTAATGTTGCAGATTGCGTTGTTCCTTGATCTTCTAACAGGATCCAGCTTATTATTTTTTGCAGACTGTTAGAGCAATTTTTATAAAAGTAAGCTTGAACTTTCGATTATGTCAAAAAGAATTTCCAATTCTGGAGCTGCCAAAGGATCTACAAAGCAAAAGCATGTTTCGATGTCCATCAAACAAAAAGTTTAATTGCTGCAAAAAATGGATAAACCATATCCTTTGTTTCTCTAACCATTCCGAAATCTGTTTATCAATTTCACGCTGCTCTGCGGGGGGAAATTGCGGCGCGCAATGAACTGGAAGCTGATCTGTCAGCACTATCCTTACCTTCAGGGCAGATGTTTTAATTTTATTCCACTTATAATTCCTTACTAAATGTAGTATTTCATCTCGATGTACTCCGTCTTTGATATGATTTAAATCAAATTCCTCGTCATTATAAATATAACGAATACACATCAAATAGTTTTCCTGGTGCAATTTTCTAATTTTGACTATGCGTAATTGTTGGAAAATATGACCTATTGTAACCCTTTTTCTGAATCATCTCTCCTCCTTGAAATATTTCTAACTTTTACATAAGGTTTATTTCTTATTTTAAAGGGATATAGTGGTTATTTCTAATTCGTTTTCACTGCCACTGTTTGTATTAAGAACGGACTGTTCCATCCTAATTAAGATGCAAAAACGAAGCTTGATGTTACGTCATCTAGAAAGCTGAGGCGTG